TAAACAACAAAAAGGTTAAGGGTAGATAGCCTGTACAGCTAACTAGGATGCTGAATATGCTTCAGCAATCTAGGATAGGTTACGGTAGGTTAATCGTTACCTAAACGCCCGTATAAACCTCGGTCGCTACCCTAAACCCACGCAAATGCGCTCTAAACAACAATAAGGTCAAGGGTAGATAGCCTGTACAGCTAACTAGGATGCTGAATATACTTCAGCAATCTAGGATAGGTTACGGTAGGTTAATCGTTACCTAAACGCCCGTATAAACCTCGGTCGCTACCCTAAACCCACGCAAATGCGCTCTAAACAACAAAAAGGTTAAGGGTAGATAGTAAATCGTAAACACCTTATAGCTAATTGTGTTCTCTTAACTCTCTCTACGTTTTGATTAAATACCAGCAATTCGTTAAGCATACAATATAGGGTAGTAGGCTATAGAATGGCGTACACTGCCCAAAGGATGCTGCTTGTACTTCAGCAAAAGGAGGGATGTTTGGAAGGCAATATTGAGTTTATAGGACGTTATATTACACAAGCTTAGGCTATTGTCACCCTCAAATTATATAGCACTCCAATAACAACTAGGATAAGGCTTAACCTATTAAATCACTCCATAACTGTGATACAAGAAGGTTAGGTAATTGAGTAGCGTATTCCGCCCAAAGGATGCTGTTTGCACTTCAGCAAAAGGAGGGATATTGGAAGGTGACACAGAGGTTATGTAATATAAGATGTGTAGGTAAAAATCCTTTAAAAATACTCAATTGGCCTTACTAAGCTTTTGCTTTCCTCAATAGCCTAATGTATGCTAATTCGTCTGGATTTTATATAGCTAGTCGGCAAGATTTCTTTAACGTCAAACTAATTGTTTCCCAATTTAAAATCTAAATTAAATTGCAAAAATACCAATTAATCACTGATCAAAATCGAAAACCTCGTTTATTGGGAACAAATTATCGTAAATCAATTATTCAACATCGATCGTGAATATCCAAACGTAAAACAACTAGTTTCCCTGAATCATAAAATGATATCAAGTAGGCACTATACCTTAGAGAGAGACGTGTTGATTGGGTCACAAAATGGCACAGACTGTCCGTCGGCGCCCGGTCCCAGTGGTTTTGTTGCACGTCTGGGCCGGTCATGCGCAGAAACCAGTTTTGGCAGTCCGACTCGGCCTCGGCGGCGGCTCCATCGGTGCTCGCGCTAACTACTTGAGCCTCGCCTCGCCATGCTTAACCTCAAAATCGTTGATCGTTTGTACTACTATGATGATCCTCAAGTAAAAACGTTTTTGTATTGCGATCTCAGCCATGATATGATAAAAAAAAGTGAGGTGTAAAAAATCAACCCTTACAGTACATAGCAGTTAAATGGAATAAAATGGTTTTAATACTGTACATAGTGAGGTAAACATTTGCCATTTGTTACAAAACAGTCATTTTTTTAAAATGACTTCATGCAAATGGCGGCCATGTACTTCTCTACAAATGTTCATTCTGGTCTGAAAATCATCTGAAACTCAGGCCAGGAGATCTTATTCAACGCCGTTGATATCTTCTGTGATTGCCAACTTCAAATCCCCTAGAATGTGTGGTTTGTGAGCATAAACACGCTCCTTAAACAGGAAGTAATCACAGCTGGATAGGTCAGGTGACCTTGGTGGACACGGTATGTCACCAAAGTGAGAAATCACCTTGTTAGGAAACATTCATTCAATACTACTCTCAATCTGGTGATGTTTTCGGATGTTTTCGAAATTCTAACAAGGCCTGGTGGTTGCTTTCTTGTCATATTCCCAGTTGTTCGGAACCCTGAAACCCATCTTAATAGCATATTTTGGCTTGGAACCGTTCCGTGGCGTTCAATATTAAAATGTCCACTGAATTCCCGCTGGATTTGACGACGGATTCACTATTTTGGACCAAAGTATTGTATGCAAAAACGCGATGGTCTAAGGTCCACTGAGTCATTTCAACAAAAATGGCAAGCCTCACTGAAGGGTATGACATAACCTCAATCTTCCTACCACGTGCGACAACAATGGAACAGCTGTTTAAAAAACGTCCGGTTCCTTTGTGTCACCTTCATACTTTCATAAGAAAGTAAATTTTCAAATAAATAAGTTATGGGTGAAAAACAGATTTCATACATTTAGCGTTAGCTAAGAATGCATACCCTAACCATAGCTAGGAATCTGGCTAATAGTTTACATCAATATCACTACCTACTTCTTCAGGATCATCAACCAGCCCTTCAAAATCACTTCTTATAATGCACCACGTATATCACTACTGAATGAATTAGGCTTTCCAACGACCCATTAAGTAACAAAATCAGTCCAATAGAAGTTTAGATTTAGGCCCGATTTCACTAAACACTTAAACCGCCGTTAAACCATGCTCTAACTGCAGTTAACTCTTAACTGACGAAATCGGATTTCACCACCCGCCGTTAGAGCTAGTTTAGACTAAACCGTCGTTAGATAATTAACTGCCCAATTTTGACCGGTTAACTTCTTTAATCCTTCGTTAAGGAATGTCAGCTGGCTTTAAGTTTAAGGTTTATATTGAAAGGCGAAATGGTAGAAGAGAATACGGTACGAATTAGCTTTTGAAAGTAAGTGATGGCAATGAAGAGTAGCCTATGTTGTTCGCCGAACTAGGTGGAAAAGAGAAAGGGTTAATGATTGTAATAACAAAGATGAAATTGATTTTATTATTAGATATGAACTATCAAAACGTTTAGCCTATTCTTTAGGAAATGAATACAAACCACTACGTTTAGGATATCCCACATAGTGCATTGCTTTAGGTTATCCCACAGGGTTTTTAGTTAAGGCGTATATCTGTGATCAGCGACCGCATTGAACTGATTGGCGATCAAGGGCCATACTCTTTTATCCCGGCTAAAAAGAGTGTCCCGGCTCTTCTACCAACATTATCAAATTTATTATTTCATTGCTCGAAAAAATAGGCTGCCTTTTCTTTCTCCCGGCTTTGGGTAACCCTAACCCAACGTTCAAACAATTGTTTTGCGTTCGGTCAGACGTAATTAAAGCAAAATCTAAACCTAAATTGTCATTATTCTGCTAGTATTTTATAGAAAATAATTTTTCACTACTTCAAATGTACCAAACTGGTTAGTGAACAAACAGAATATTGAACATCCCTGTAAAAAGTTGGATTTTGAGTCTTGACTCGACCTCGAAACTCAATCAATTTGTTCCTCGAAAATGTTTGATCAACATTGCTTTGCCTTTATTTACTTATGTTAATTTCTTTGGTATTTATTCTTGCTTTCTATTGTTATTTTGCTCAGAATCTATTGTATTCCTGTAAGCTTGCTGTCTCCAGTTTTGTTTTTACTACCTCATAGACACTGATCTATTTTCTAGGTTATGTTTATGATTACTTGCTCCCGTAACAGCACGGTATTATGACAGTTCACTGCCACCGCCACCTGGATTGGCAAGCATGTTTCTTTAAAACCTTTTTTCTCAGCTCGTGTGCATCGTAGGGAAAATCTACGCAAACTGTTAGTAAGCTATTTTCCTGTATGTGTGCAGAATCCCTTCATAAATTAAAATAGGCTCAAAGATAAGCACAAAAAATGAATTTGAATTAACAAAAAATTAACATAGTCTTTATGGGTTGCCATGCTGGTGACGAAATAACAACGGAATATAGACATAAAATCAAAACAAATGTAAGCAATTCCAATCACATGTTTTATTTTCAGTGTGGGGTCAAAAATAGAGAAGCCTGTACAGTGCAATTGGATTTATTTTAGCAAGAAGCAGTTAAGGTGTGGTGGAATATCTTTGAAGATGAACATGTTAAGTGCTATCATGTGTTCATTACGTGTAACCTTTTGAGGTTAAATCAAAACAAACAAACTGGCATAATATATTCTTGGAATTTGACAATAGTTAAATATACTTACTCTACTTTAATAAAATCACTTTTTTATTAGAGAATATTTGCTGTGAATAGAGACATGATTCCTAATTCCAAATCAACTAATGAATAAATTGTTATTTAATTATTGCCTTAAAATAAACAATAAAGTGATGGTTGCTTTGAAAATAATTAATTTAACATGAGCAGATATTAAAATATTGAATCTTCTTACAAAATTAATGTTGATCAGAATAATGTAGTTGCTGTGACTGGGATACACATGATAAACTGTTTTGACATAATGAAGATTTATGATTCGGAAAATGTTGTACGATAGGCCAAGGAAGCAAGATTCGAGTTTGGTTTATAAAATGCAGTAGCCTTAACACTGAATGTTTTCTAATAAATCAGACAATGACATGGCCTACTAAATTTAATTTGATCTTAAATAAAATTTCTTTCATAAGTAATACAACATTGTCCCTAATTGACAACATGCCAGTTTGTTTGTATGTAAGTGAAGGTGATATTCTAAAAGATAAAAAAATTTCCTACAAATTGATACCATGCACTTCTTGGAAATACTAAAAAAAGGCAGCCAAAAGTTGCACCGAAATAAAAAGTGTGAAAAGCACCGTTTTCAATGTATTTCTTATGGAAAATATGTTTTTTTGAAATATTTTCACCATAAATCTAACAAAAACTAACTTTCATAATTATTTGCAAATCTACACGAATTAAGCTTTCTAATGACTTATTAATTAATAAAATCGGTCCAGTAGAACTCTAGATTTAGTTGTACAAAGATTTTTTAAACTGTATAATAAGTAGATAAGCCATCTTGATCAGAGGGTTCAGAGGGAGGCAGTAAACTGAGTTCCCCCTTGATGTATACATTTATATTATGAAAGGAAAATCCGGTATTGTCGGGAAGAAAATTTAATTGAAAGCTTTTATTTTCCCTTCCAAAATCCTTTGCATAAAATGATTATACATATCTAATAATTATTTTAAACAATTTTCACAGTTAAAATTCATGTGCAAATGACACAAAATTCAAACATGACCTATCTATCCCAGAGCATGATTGCATACCTGGAGCCAGGCCATTGCAGCAACAGCATTGGCTGCTAACACTGCCCTTGGAGGTATTGCTCTTCTGCGGGACAGAAGCCACATTCCTGATATCACCATGAGTGTTGAGGTGCCCTGTAAAATCAATAATCTTCTAATATAGCATACACCAGAACTATTTGTTGGTTAAAAGATGTTTGCGGCACTATTTATCACTGTGAGCTCATTCCATCACAAATCATGGGTGAAAATGTAAATAATAACCCTTTAAAACCATAACATCAATATTACCAACCGTGACTTTTTTCAAATAATTATTGCCACGTATGAATTGACAATAGTTTCTCATTTTCCAAATCTGAGTTTCTTACGGCAATTCTTTGAAAACACATTGTTCATTTACAAGATTATTTTTTTCAAATTCAAAACAATTTCTTGATGACCAAACAAAATTTTTGATATTTTAAATATGTGAGTAAATGGTCTAAATACATTAATGAACCACAATTGTATTTACCAGAAGCCTATGGTCAAATTGAACTGTAGTAGGGTTTTCAGTAAAGTTGCGAATAGCTGGGGAAAATCTCAAGATGTCATCTGGTATCCACTTATCGGCCATTTTGGGGAAAGAGTTATATATTAATCCAGCATCCAAGCCCGCAACAAAGGCTCCTAAAACAAAAAGTACCTACACGGTATACAAAGTGTTTATTTTAATAGTTTAATCCAATTATGAGCCCCAATTGACTTTCCTGGGTCACAAAGTACTGTACGGGGGAACAAGGAATGAAGTATAGACATGGCAACAGTTGTACTCCAAATAACTGCCGTACTCAATATTAAGGAACCACAAACAGTTTTTTAAAGGAAGTTTTTTTTCAGCCCTCACGTAGGAATTCTATCTGAGATTGGTAGTCTTTCTCAATTTACTTATATTTTTACTCTAGTTTCTAAATCAAGCTCTACATTACACTGAGTATGTTTTTTTTTCAGGGAAAAAATAATAGAGCCTACATATTGTTTAAAATAATTAATTATGTTAAAAATGTCTAAATAAACATTACAAAATAAGTTTATTTTTTATTTGAGCACAAATGGGTCTTTTTAATATTTAGTAAACAACATTTAATTTGGTAGCCTATTAGGTATGTAGAAAGTGAAACTGTGACCATGACAAGTGACAAATAAGTATCAAAACATTAAGATCCTTACCTGAAATGGCTGTAAGGAAAATAAGTCCCTTGCAGGAGTGAGCGAGTCCACGAAACTTGGCGGCAGCCTTTGTTACCTGAGCTAATCGTTCTGCAGGCAGCAGATGGTCAAGAGCAGACCACAAGAACAGCGAGTATAGCAGGAATGCTAGAGACAGATGAGCTGCCAGTCGATACTGTGACACGCGAGGTACATCACTTGGCCCATCAAACTTGTTCTCTAAGCCAGACTTGACCATGTACCATCCCATCAAGCCCTGCGGTTCCAAACATAAGTTCAGTGTCAATGTACATCTGAGTGAAAAAATAAAGGAAACTAAATATTTTATAGGTTGGGTCAAATGTATGAAATATACAGGTAAGAGAATAAAGCAGGATAACGTTTGGAGAAATGAGATTTTTAAAGGATATTACGAGTGGGGGTGTAGAGATAGGAATAAAGGAATCAAATGTGGATTTGTTGAAGACAATTTTTTGAGGGGGAAATGAAAGATAAAAAACTAAAATGGTTTAGATATGTGAGAAGAATTCAAGAAAAGATAATTCTTATGAAAATGAAGAACACTAGAACTCCAATAAGCCGAATCGAAGAAAGAATTTAAACACCCTGAAAGTACAGTAATAAAATTTGGTATTAGAGAAGAAAATTTGGCCTTGATTGCGGCCAAATTCTCCCGTAGTCGTGTACACATCATCAACACCTGCATTCACGGTAACATAATCTTGTCTTCCAAGATAAAGAACAGATCTTCTGTGGTATCGTAGGCATCATCATCGTCTCCTGCGGTCACGGAAAGACATCATCTTCCTTGTGATCTCAGCAAAAGCGTCAACTTATCTCTTGCGAAATATGTGATCACGATAGTAAAAGCTTAGCTTGACTTCTTCGACTAGTGCTATTTTCTATAAAATACCCTGCATTTCTGTAAAAATCCACACACATTCTTCTTCTTTTTTTTTACATCCCTGTTACGCAATTCTTAGAAGAATTCTTTCCATTTGGGTTCCTTCATCGTGTTTCACTCAGACCCAGTGTGTTGATTTTATAATTTTTCATCTCCTTTTCAATACTACTTGTCATCGTTTTCACATTCCAAATTCCATATAGAGTCCTTATTTTCATGCCAAAAGTCTGAGCAATTTGATCTGTCCAGTTTATTTATTTTGTTACAGTTTTAGTAATAAGTTGAATTTAAGAGAAAACAGGTTATTAGCCCACCTTCTCCGGTCCAGTTGGTGGGATCGCCACCTGCGGCCTCAGGCTGCTGGGTTTTCTGGCAGGGTATCCTCCCTTAGCCTTAAGGTTTACCACCTTTCACAGGGCAGTCAAGTCTTGACTCATCTGCCTCCATTACTTTAGAAGCTAAGCTTTCCTCCAATATCTCATACACTACAAAAGAAATAAAAATCAATGCCAGGAACAATAATCCTCTGGAAGTAGGCCTTATGGTAATTGAGCATATGGACCAATTTCAATTTGTTGGAAGCACTGTGTCAAAGATGGAGGGGGACAGATGAAGACGTAGCCAGTAGGATTAGGAGCCAAAGGAGAATTTGCAAAATTAACACCAGTGTGGTGATCAAACCAGATACGAAGGAATACCAATATAAGAATATTGTAAACAAATGTTAAATCCGTTCTCTTGTATGGTTGCCAGACATGGAAAGTCACCAAGGCAGTCACCAGCAAGTTGCAGGTCTTTATAAACAAATGTCTCCGAACAATTTTCAAAATCCATTGGCCACAAAGAGTAACAAATGATGAGCCAATGAGAAGAGCACATGATCATAATCATAAATCATAAATCTTTATTGGTCATTAAATAACAGAGTTACAATAGACCTCGTCAACAATGAAAAAGGTGCCAAAAAGGGCCATAGATTCTAGATAGTTTGATAAACACAGCCATTAAAACCTCAAAACTGACACAGGTACAGAAATCTAATGTCTTCAAATGTCATGAAAACCCTATTGGAGAAGCCATCAAGAAAATGAAGTTAACTTGGATAGGCCACACTCTAAGACAACCAAATGATATCATCAGCAAACAATCTTTAGAGTGGAACCCCCAAGGAAGCAGAAAACGGGGAAGACCAAAGATAACTTGCAGGAGGTCCACCGAGAAAGAGATGGAGGAGGAAGGCAAGAACTAGAGAGAAGTAAAGCAGCTGGGCCAGAACCATGTACGGTGGAGAGCTTTTCTTGCGGTCCTAAGTCCCCTTACAGGAACTAAGTCATGTCCGTAAAAATACAACCATCCAAAATGTTGACTTTAAAAATATGGAATGGTGCCATGATTAGGATAGTTGGAGTTATACTGTAGATATGAGAAAACTGATCTAGAAGAGGGTGAATAAATGACATGAAGAGGGATGTGAAAAGAAATTATAAAAATTACATATATCATGGAGGTAGAGGAACAGGAACAAACATGCCATTACAATTAGAATTACAAACTAGTATTAAAAATTACTCCATATATTTAATATTTAATCCACAATATTAAAATCTATACTATGATACAAGTAACATTTGCGCACATTGATTTCAAAAACGGCTCCTATGATTTCCTCTAAACTATACAATACAATATGTAATGTATTGTATTATTTAGACTTATTCTAAATGTGATACAGGATGAAAATTAATCCCTTGACGCTTGTGTAAATCATATGCTTTAGACTCTAGAGTAAAGTCTTTACTCATGTCTCAATGGTAAAGTCTTTACTAAAGAGACTCAAGTAAAGGCTGACATTTTTGTCTTGCTATCCCTAAAATTTAACCTTTGAAACTTCATTATCGAGCCGAAAATCATATCTCAGAGTATTCTGATTGCAGTTTTTACCCATGTAGCACAGATGGTTGGGCCAACGTTGGCCAACTGTGGGACAGTTGGTCGATGGTTGGTTGGAGCTTCCACAACCAACCAACCGTTGTCCAACTGTATATCTCGTAGTTGGGCCAACCAATATTTACAACTGTGGACCAACATCGGTTCATTGTTAATGAAATACATTAATATGCATTGTTGGGTATCATACATCAAGCCAACCGTTGTTCAACCGTTTTTCACTCCGTTGGACCAACAAAAGATACTTTTGTTGGACCAACGATGGTCCATAGTTGAGTTTACACGACTTTCATTCTCTGGGTCTAGCTTTCACAACATAATTATAATAAAATATCTGGTTTTACAATACCTTTATCAGTTCCAAAAGTTTCCAAAAGTTTTTGGAACTGATAAAGGTATTGTAAAACCAGATATTTTACATATTACAGTTCCGGGGCTACAACAATGAATTTTAATAATTATAATAATGCAAATATTTTTTAAATTAATATTCTTTAACTTATTTGCAACAATTTAAGGGGAAAGAGTAATTAATCATATAACAGTCAATTATAATAGCATTAATAATCTAACGGTAATTAATTAATCTATATTCAAATACCAGTATCCTCTCTAACTCCAAAAAAAAAAATAACTACTTATGATGCCTTAACAGATTAACAGAATCATATTATACTGTGTAGTATCAAAAATGTTTGAAGTATTGCGACCATTGTAACTGTCGGCTACTCTTTCACCACTTGAAAACTCTCTGTATCAACAATCACAGATAGCTCAGTGGTAAGGTAAGAGGCTCATAAGTCGAAGGACCCGGGTTCGAGACCCGTCTGGGCCAAAAAATTTTGTTCCAGCTTTTTTTCAAAATTTGTTTTTATGAACTATTTAATCAATTTACTCAACTAATAATTATGCTTTTCGTACTAAATCTTTATTATTTTGTGTGAAATAATTTTGGTTGGGCCATTGTTGGACAAAGGTTGGCTGGAAAACAGTTTAAAGAGGTGACATTTCTACCGTTGGCCAACTGTGTGGCTCCACAATTTACCAACGTTGGCCCAACCATCTGTGCTACATGGGTACTAGGTACCTATTTTGCCTTTTAGCGAATTTCCATAGGTAGAAGTAGCTATTACCATAGGTGGCACGGTATGACCTCGACCCGGGACCGATATACCTTTCGTTCAAATTTTTATATATGTATATTATAATAAAGATTTATATATAATATACATCCTTGAACGCGATAACTTAAGTAATTTTTGTCCGATTTTGATGAAATTTGGCTTGAAGATGTAGGGTGGAATAAACTTAAATGAGTTTGCAAAACAGCATGATCGGACTATGGAAACGGGGTAGAAACGGGGCCAAGCACAACACTGTACGATGTGTCTAATGGCTAAGTCAATTAATTGGTAGAGGAAACCCGATATCAAAACTAATATAGGCCAATAAACTATGAAATATGAGATAAACTATTATTAACATCTAGTCTTATGCAATTTGGCTCTGCTTCAATAAAATGACAATACTACTGTTTTTAAATGACATTATTTTTATTTTGGTTTTTTGTGTCAGTACCCTAATGTGTATCTATTCAGGCCTGCAATGGGTTTCAATGACTTAAGGCCACAATGTTGTAGACATGTTGCTGATTTTCTGATCAGCAAAATGTATTACAGTGTTAATGATAACCCAATGAAACTAACCAATCAATATGACTCTATTTTGTATGACATAGAAACTATTTTTTTTTCTGTCATCGTTTAACAAATTTTGCCAACTTGTTTACAAACATTTTTTATGCATAAGACATATTGTTGTACATTAGGTTAAGTTAGTAATAATCTTGACAATGTCATCTGTTTTTTAGCTGTGCTATGATTTAAAACGTTGATGTGACAATAAAGAATCATTTATTTATTTATTTATTTGACATAGCACTAATACTTAATTATGATAAAATTTTATAATATTATAATTGATTTTATTGCATATTTTAGACTATATTTTATAATACCATGGAAATTTAACATATGTAAGCCTATGTTCATTTTAACTTTCTCCCCCTATACCATAGTAATTGGAGAAAATATTGTTTTAGTCAGAATTTTCGAGTTTGAGTTTTGAGTGGATATATCCGTTTTGGGACCCCCTGGACAAAAAAAATATATATATAAAATATATGTATTTTGAAGTGATCTCTCTCTGTGTGTGTGTGTGTGTGTGTGTGTGTGTGTGTGTGTGTGTCTGTATTCACCGAATAGTGGCATCCTTCACCGGCACACGGCCGTACTGTGGCACCTTCAAAAATTGTGGCACCTTTTTCAGGGTGCCACAGCTAATTCGATCATTTTTGAGGTTTTCCAGCATTATTACGTCGTTTAAACATCACATGCCACAATTGA